CCTGATCTTGTGCCCCACTATACATCACTGTGCCCTGCGTTGAAGAACAGAGTCCCCACATGAATGGCTCAAAGGCAGGCAGGGACATTGGTGGATACCTTTAATGAAAGGAAAGACAGAAGCAACGCTTGCTAGAAATAGTTTTGTGACGCAGATTTCTGCTGTATATTTGGCTCATATCTGCTACAATAGCTTCATGGATATTTGCCATTAATATACTTCTGTTAAAAAGAGAGAAAAAGGAATAAAAGGAAATTATTCTTGGAATCAAATCTCCCAGTTTTCTTTGCTTCACCACCATCCACTCTATTTCCATCCTGCTGAGGCAATGATTTCACTAAGGCTGTGGTGATGGCTGGAGGCCAGCTTGAGGCCTGCACCAGCTGCAGCCTCCCCATAATGAATACCTAGAGGGCAGTGGGGGGGAAGACCTACCCACCTTGCAGGTTCTACAGCCCATCACTCCTGGCAGGGCTTTGGCCAGCCACAGAAATTGAGGCAAGGACATCTACAGAACGTAGGCATCACTCACAAGAGGAGCAGCAGTGAGTCGATAGGCCTGACTGCGTGACCATCCATATGATGGATCTTCCTGTAAACTGTGTGTGATCTGGACCTTGCCACTGTATAAGAAAATCTGGAAAAAAAAAGGAAAGCAGCACAAAACCTCATTGCAACACATTGTGCAAGGTCAACCTTGCTGTTCAGGGAGAAGAAAGCAAAAGTCCTTCCTTGCTCATGCAAAGGGATCTTACTCCTCTCTCCTGACTTACATTGCCAGTTTCTCTGCTGGCTTAAAGCCACAGGTTTTCCTAGGCTGCTTTAATAGCACCTCTGGGAGGAACAGCACACACAGTGGGGTCCTGCTGTTGCCTGAGGCACAAGCTAGTGTGCACACTGCCTGTGTCTGGGGATGTGGAGAAATTCCTTACCATATTCCCCTGCTCCTCACCAGCCTCTCACGAGGGACATGTGTCATGACAGGATGACCACTTCATTATGTGATGATAACCCCTTCACATTGTCTCCCTCTTCTCCCGTTTCAACTGAAAAACCTCTTAAAATTCTTAGTCCAAAAATAAAAAGTCCTTTTTGTGTGAGATACCCACATTTCAGCCTGTAACTAAAGCAGTAATTACACATATGCCATTTGCGCATGACCTAATCCAGAGTTTTGTGTGTTGCCAAAACAATCCTTGCTGTAACTGATGTTCTCAGCTGCTGTTTTATTTCCTTAAAATCTGAGCCTGGGCAAAGCATTGCAGAGCTTTTGGGAGCTGGCAAGGGTCACTCTGCGAAATGCGTGGGAGCTACCCAAGGTACGGGGTGCTGTTGTTTAAACACCTCTGGGCCAATATTTTCAAATGTATTTAGAAACTTGAGGGTTTACAATAAGTGCCGAGGGGAATTTTAAAGAAAATATAGGCTGCTGGTTTTTAAATCACAGCCGATAGGTACTTCTGAGAATCCATCCCAAAGTTGGGGGCTGGGTAAGAGTAGAGCCACTCTACAACATCACAGCTCTCAGTGGTGCCCAAACACAGCACAGGGGTTTTCAGCAACATGGCTTCCCAAAGTCAGCATAGCCTACTTCACTCAGGGATGCATGTCCAAGCAGGTGGGCAGCAAGGGACTATGAGGGGACAGTTTATTGCTGATAATCTGGAAGGGAAAGGCGGTTTCTTGTTAATGTGCCTTAGCTTGCCCTACTCTTTAATGTGAAATCTCTCACGCCCTGATCCCCTGGGAAACGCAGACAAATTGTCGTTTCCACTTCAGATCACGCACAGCCCTTGAAAAGCCTCCCTGGCTGCTTGTCTGGAGTTTTGTTTAGAGGGAGCTCTGGGAATTTTGGGAGCATGGGAGGAAAGAGTGTTGCAAGGTGTTATGTGAGGAGCCCAGGAGATCACCGCTAGCTGCCTGGAAGAAGTACAGTGAGCTACCCTGACCCCCCCCCATCACTGCAGGCCCACACCCTGCCAGTTCTCCCATCAGAAGGCATTTTGGGGCTGGCTGCAAGCCAGAGCACTGAGATAAGCTGAGTTAAAGTACTGCAGAGCTGCAGCCTCATTAAAGCAGAGAGGGGAAAGGGTAGGCAAAGAGGAAACTGCACAAGCAAGAGAGAAGACTGGAACAAAGTTTGTGTACGTGTTTACATTATTTCAGTCATTTAGTATATGCATTAGAATAGTCCCAGAACTTGCTTTGGCTGTTGCACTCATATCTACGTCAATGTAAGCCATACCCTGTGCCATCCCTGCTCCAGAGTGGTTGGACAAAGCAGAAATGATGGATCCAGGTACACAAATAAGGGAGTGGGAGAAGAAAGGGCCTGTCAACAAAGCAAGTCAGGAGCCTAGAGCTCCAGGCTTCTCACCAAAGTCAGATTTACTGCAGACGTTGCAAGGAAGGGAGGTTTTACATCGCTTTTACTCATTCTTGTCTGCTCGAGTGTACAGAAAACACAAAGCTGGCTTTTGCAGTGGCTAGCTGCTATTTTGTTGGGTACATGGCCCCTTGCCTTGTTTGCAGTTTGCTGTGTAAGCACTGTTGTCAAGCTGGAGCTATGTGTTTCCATCAGATTTTTGTAAGAGACTTATCACCACGGTATGGGAGGACCTCAGACATCAATGAATTTCTTTCCTCTGTAACTGAGAAAGGACAAGAAGGAAGGAAAACCTCATGGCTCTAAGGGCTTGCCTATGCCTCAAAACTAACCCAAATTTCATGTTAAATATGCAGAAAACAAGAAATTGGGTAAGTGACTCACCCGGTTTTACACAGGGATCTAGTGGCACAAGCTTGTCTCACATCTTGTGTTCCTGAGCAGTGTTCAGACAGTTCCCAAGAAACTGCTCTTTCTCCTCCAGAAGTCCTTTCCCACCTCTTTAATTATAAATCTTCACCTGAAGAGACTTCTGCTCTACTTAGTCATGATTTATCCACAAATTTTCACATCCTATGTGCTACTGGGACCGAATAAATGTGCCTAGAAATTATATGCTATGAACATGTGAAGATAAGGGAGAAGCTGGGTTTATGCAAGCATTTTCTAGAGTTTGAGTACCTGGACTTTGTGCTCTGAATCCTCTTTTTCTTCGTGTTGGGATATATGCATGTAAACTTTCAAGTTTCCCTCCTGCCCTGTCTCTTCTTCCAGTCAAATCTCCTTGCACATTTCTCTTGGAGTCGTGCTGGGCTGTTCCAGACTCACACTACCTGCAGACCACTGAAGTTTTAATTGCGGAACCCTGCATCTGAGGCTTAGGGATAGGACCGCTTGCAGTGTACAACAAATATTTCTCCTGCTTTGCAAAAAAAAGTTTGTCTTTTTCTCTCGCCTGACTCTGGAAGTTGGAGCTTAGTCAGCATTGTGATGTAGTGGTAAGAGTTGATGGTATGTCTGGTTTCCAGGAAATCCATAAGGCTCTTCCCTTTTCTGTCCCAAAGGGCAGTGCACATCTGCCCACTTTACCCACTAAAGGCTTCATCTAGATTTTTTTTCTTTGTTGGGGAATTCACATGTTGCCACTCCATAGACACTGTTTTGACTCTGGCACGCAGTGGTGACATCAAGTCTTGTCACTAGTAATGATGCAATCCAGAAAATTGTCACCTTCAGTCTTGTATTGATTCAGTAGGTACTGATAAACTTCATAGCATTCTTCCTGTTCATGGATGAGCATTCATGGGACCCACTTGGCACAAAGTTTGTGATATTTTAGTGTTGTCATCATTGTTTCCAATGTATTGAAGATTATATTCAATTCTGTACACAGTTTCCTGATCCTAATCTGTGGATGAGCTGATCAAGATGCTCTTCACTTCGTGGTGTGACAAACTGTGCGTGGCCATCCAATATATGGTTTATCCTTCCAATCATTGTTACCACTACTGAAATGCACCACCCCCCAACTTACTGTGCTCACATTCACTGTTTGGTCTCCAGAAATGTTCAGCAATTGTCCATAAATGTCAGTGAGTGCAGTGTTTTCTGCACAGAGGAATTCAATGCCACAACTTTGTTTCATATGCACTTCCACATCAGATGTCATTTTTTCAGATTGCCCCTCTGCTGACATCTGTCATGAAGCAACAAAATGTAACAGAATATTGGTGAGAAGGTTCAATCTCTACTGCCATAGCACCAACATCTGCCTCTGATATCATGGGCCAACATCATAAAATAGGAAGCATTACTTTTGGAGCAGCCCTTGCACTTCACCTCTGAGAGAAATGTGTGGGCTTCTGGCAGAAGCAAGGAGGAAACAATGTGAAAGAAAAGGCATCCTGTCAGCCACCAGTCCTTGGTCCTCACAGCTGCATGAACCTTCATATTGCAACAGCAATAACACAGAAACCTGTTAAGTACAGATTCAGCTGGATTTAAATTGAAGAGAAGCATCTATAGTAATCAAGATTTGTTGTATGTGTCTTGAATACAGCATTGCTCTTAATTATTGAGCTCTGCACACCTGCAAGAAATATATTAGATGCAAAAAAGAGTTTTCCAGCATTCTGCTGCTGGTTAAGTAAAGCAAAGGCATATGTGGTTTTGTGCTTACAAAATCAAGACAGTTAAACTACCAATTCTGTTTCCTGCCTTTCTCTACCCGGAATGCCAGCTCTGGCACAGATCTCCAGCACATTCCAGACTCTTTTGTGCTCGATCTTTAAAAAAGCTTTATGAGAAGGGGCACAACAACGTATCTAGATGCTTGGGAGCTGTGACTATGCAGGCTGCAAACTGAATAGACCTCAGAAGAGCCAGACTCATTGTGTGATCTGACAAATAAAAGCCATGGTCATAATCAAGGAAGAGCTTTTTGTGTACTTGAAACCCTTTCTTAGGGCTTCACAAAGACCACCATGGTTTACCACGGTGCTCCAGCAGCTCTGTTGCGTCTTCACACCATGAGCATCCCCAGGAGGTGCTGGGAGACAGAGCTGGAAGACCTGCAGCATGGCAGGCCTCCTCCTCCTCTCCCTAAACTCACAGCCCATGGTCTTGCCTCCCCTCAGGGAGAGGGAGATGGTGACTGTGCTTTTGCCCTGCTGACATCCAACATCCCCTGGCTCTCCATAGGGAAGTTTGCTCCATGACAGCAACGTAGTCACACTCCTGCTTCAGGAAAAAAAAAAAAAAAAATCACAAATCTTTTTCAAGAAGCAGAAGGATGATATGCTAAAAAGTAAAGCTTTGATTAAAATGCTCTCTCTAGGAGGCCCCTGAAGCAGGAAAGGCATGTAACCTTGTCACTCTTTCCTTTGACAGGGTTATTGTACAGAAAATGAATGGAGCGATAGTGGAGAAGCAATGCTCCAAACAAGAAATCTGGTCTGAGAACACTCAGGCTTGATGCAGTATTTAAATGCATGGTTTCAAAAGATAGTACTGGGCATAGAAAAGCATGAGGATGGTTCTTCCTCCTTTTTTCCCATTCACTGGGGATAATGGTAACTGTATTACCAGAGTGCTGACAGGAGCATACAGATCCCTCTGCATGTGGGCACTTGCCTTAGAAAAGAATTCCCTCACCTCAGTCTGTCACAGGGCGGGATTTGGTCACTGTGTGGGTCTTCAGGCACAGCAGTTACTTCTGCAGCTCTGTCCTGATGTGGGTCTGTGGGGTTATGGGAAATGAAGGGAAATGAAGCGTGCTATGTAGAGACTTTCCCATCAGTTAAATGGGAAGGTGGTGATCACATTGCTCTTCTTTATAATGATCTTGCTCCCTGAGTGCCTTAGCAAAAATGTCTAAAGTATGGCATGCAGCTGGGTGTTGAGCCCAGCAAGCAGCGGGAGTCACCTTGCTTTGGTTTTGTTTCATTTCAGAGAGGAAAGAATTGCAAAGATATACAAAGAGCACCAAGCTGCTGATGCACTGACATTCTATTTTGTGAAGTGACATAAAATGAAGGGCTCCTCCCTATCAACAGACCCTTAAAAGCCTTATGAATGGAAATTTGTGTGACTCTTAACCCCTCATGTTGTTACAGACAGTGACCCTGGATAGTTTAATGTGAATTTTAAACAGCAGCTCCCTTTTTGCTCCAATGGGAGGCTGCTTATGGTAGACAGGGAGGCAGGAGGCAGGCCCATACCCATCATTTGCTGCTGATGGTAGTGGCAAACAGCTGGGGCTGCTCCACTGAATCCTGGAATGGAGTGTTCCCAGAAAGACTGGACCTGTCATGTCATGTTCTCCTTTCCTCTGTTTCATAAGGGAAATTTTTCCAGTTTTCCTCTGGCAGAACTGTTCTTTATAGAGCAACCTATTGCCAAGTTTAGTTGAATGGCCTCAGAGAGCTGTGTGCACAAATCCCCAGCCACAGAGATGAACAGTGGGCTGGCAGGGCTGAGCTTCGAAAGAAATAAAGGTCTGAGGGTGTTGCTGCAGCAGAAAAATAACAAACGCAATTATTTAAGGAGAAAAGATGAATCCCGACAGTCAATCTGAGCTCCAGCAGTGAGTCAGAATCCCCCTCCACTGGGGAGATAGGGAACCATATGACCAAAATCAATGTTCTGGACTTAAAGATGTGGTTACTGGGATTATCAAGAAGACTGGATTTGCCCATTGAAGTGTACAGGGTAAAACATATGGTACTGAACAAGCCAGCAAAGCAGCCAAGGGGCTGCTACACGAAGGGATTTGTATGTAAACATTGGAGACAAGGCAAAAGCCATGCTCCTGTAAGTTAATTTAGCTGTGCTTGCTGCACTGACAATATAATTATGGGAGTGCAATTTACAAGATTTATCTTTTTAATTAGTAAACTCCCGTGCCCTTCAAAAATCTCCTTTCACAGCTCCAGAGCCACCTGCGTCAAAGTGCAGCGGGGAGCCCTCGATTACGCACAGTTCCCTTGCCCCATGCCACAACACTGCCACAGTGCCAAGCAGATGGTCCCGCATCGCAAGTGGCCTCCCTATGTCACTTGCTATTAATTAATTGGAACATTGTTAGTGTGCATCAAAATTTCCTCGGACATTTTCCGTGTGTCAGTGAATTTCTTTTCAGTCTTATCTTAAATATAGAAACATAAAAACATATACTGCTTGGGAGCAAGTTTCCTAGAAGTAATTTCAGCTGAAGATTTTTTGTTTTATAGTTGTTCCTGAGACAACTCAGGGTGTTAGCAGTGCTCCCTGACTTTGCTGTATGGGAACAAGCCAAATTCTGGGAGCTCTGCCAGGAGCCATGGCCCATCCCTGTAGATGTGTGGTGCCCAAGAGGCACAGCCCTCCTCTCACAGAGAACTGGGCACTGTCCGTCACGCACAGGAAGCTGATATATGCACAGATCATCTCCATCCCCATCCCCACCACCATTGCCATCCCCAACCCCAGCCCCAGAACAACCCTTCTGTGTGGTGGCCCCATGCCAGTCTTTGCTTCTTCCTCTCTGCAGTCCACTACCCTCAAAAGCAACACTGGGTTAACATGTTTTCCAAAAGCAGCCACAAACTTTTCTTCTCCTGGAAATAAAACTGAATTAAACCTTGTTACCATATCCTTGCTGTGCTTCTGGGAGCACTTACCTTAGAATCATAGAATAATTAAGGTCGGAAAGAGCACTAAGATCATCCAGTTTAACCAACTACTCCTGACTGTGGCTGCTCTGGACCGTGTGACTGAGTGAGACATCTACAGTTTTCCTGAACAGCTCCGGTGATGATGACTCTACTTGGACAGCATTTCTAATACCTCATCACTCTTTTAGAGAAGAAATTTTTCCTAATATCCGTTTAGAACCCTATATCCAGGTCATGGAGCAATCAAAGGCCTGAGTGGAGATGGTGGAGACTATGCATGTGCACATGTGCATGGTGAAGGATTCAGCTTGGTAGCATTATTAGGAGAAGCTAACAAGAAGGATGATTGTAAAACTCAGTACTGATGCAGAATAACTTTGATTGAAAACACTACACTTACTTTCCTTCTTTTTAAGTGCTGGGATGGAAGAAAGAAACCACATCAAGCACAGAGGTCTATGAAGACCTCACAAAGGATTCTGGTCACCTCAGCAGACCTGTAGAAAAACCGATATGTGAACCTAGTTCAGCACATTCCAGCCAGCTGCTGGTTACACCAGCTGCCTGTGCCCTTACCATTACTGCAGCCAAAAAGCAACCATTGCAGATGCTCCCTCACATGAGCACTTCCTCCAGGCACTGCTGGAAGCCCCAGGCTCTCGGTAGCTGTCAGAGCACAATCCCACCAGCATCCTGCTGTTATCCAGGCAATTCCTGGGCTAGCATTGAGGAGCATGATAAGTGGCAAAGATGAAGACACAGCAGGGGAAGAAACACTCCTCACAGTAAATCAGCTTTCCAGAGGAAGCCTCAGCACACATGGACTGTGGTACTAAAAATGCAAACGCAGATCTGTGCAGAGAGGTCTTTTATTTTAGCTCCTGCAACATTTTACTCATGGCTGAGATTGCAAGGCAAGCAGAACTAACATCATGAATGCTTATGAGGAATGAGCATATTAGAGAATGCCAAAAGAGAAGTGTATTTTTTTTTAAGTGCTGCAAAATTTTTCACTCCCACCGAAAGGTCTGAGAGTTTAGCACTGGATTGTGTGCAAGATTTTCTCTACAAGAGGATGACACATATCTGCACCACAGTGACAGGTGGGTAAGCTAACCTGGCCTTACGCATACCCAAAGCCATTTACAACAGGAGCGAACAGATAAATGGATGAATTAAATCTTGCATAAGCTTTGGGAGGTGGAGACAACAACAGTATTTTCCCATTTTGGACGTGGAAATTAAAGCATTAGACTCTCACCAAGAGTTGGCTTCAAAGGTGTCAAAAGGGAGCAGAGGAAACGACCAATGTAACAAGTTTTTGCTCTCCCCTGGGCATAAAGTGAGGTAAAGGCAACCTGCTCAGTTGAATCCAGTGATTTTTTTGGCTGCTTTTTGGCCCTAGAACAGATGCAAGATGAAAAAAAAGCTGACTACATAAAAACCCTTTCTGTTTTGATGAGGAAGATGCTGTCCCAGGCTTGGTCATGATTTCTGTGTATGAAGTGGTCAAGGATGCTTTACATCTGTAATTAAATAGATCTGCTCCATGGAGGAAACCAGCTTACCAGCTGGGTACTTCCACCCCATCACTTGTGGATGTCCCTGTGTATTGTACAGAATGCTTCTGATATAAGTAGGGATTGAGACTTTGTTTCCTTCTCCTTCTGTTTAAATGAGACCTACATTTCCTTGAAGTGTTGATTTGGATCACTGCTTTGCCTCAGACTTTAACCAAATCACAGTGAGCAAATATTTATTTTAAATGTGAAATTCCTGAGGTCTGTGCACCCCTAGTGTCCAGAAAAGTTTGCAGTAAACAGGATCACTGCATGACACTGAGAAAAGCTTTATTCAGTGCTTCTAAAAAGGCTATTAAAAATATCCCATAAGAAGATAAGTTGCTTAGTAGGTGTCTGTATAGCAGAAGATTAAACATACCTCAGCCAGACAATGCTTCCTGGTTAGACCAAGCAGGCACTGCCTCTTCTCTTCATAAACCCTAATCCACTGTATCATTTCTTCTCTAATGTGCTCTACCTGGCTCCTGCTATGAGCTTTGCGGAAGCAGAAACTAATATTATTCTTGGGAAGGGAAGAGGAAATAGAACTTAAGCTGATTGTTTAATTTTCATACAGAACATTTTGAAGACTGATCAGGTTTTATTTTAGGATAAGAAATTGTGGCTATTCTCTTTATTTTTACTGAAAATGTGATAAAATACCTTTTTGAAGCTATATTTTGCATATGGAAGTATATAAAATATAAGACTCAATGAACCAGGTTTGCTACCAGGAAGGTCATATTTAACTCCAAGATTGTACATGGAGATAATTTTAACCACATCTGTGGTTAAATTATGTGGGGAGAGAGTTGAAGTGCTCACTGAAATCAATGAAGCAGCCTTCTTCAGAAAGAGAGGCTGTGGTCTACGGGTTGCTAAATGAAGAAGCAGTTATTGGCAAGTGGTGAATCTGAGGAGCTCTAAGGCCAGGGAACTGCTGTTGCATTTATGTTGGCACAGCACCAGGTGGAAACCAGAGAAACATAGCAGTCAATCTGTCCCCTGTCCCTCAGTCAGTTATGACGGAATGGATCTTCCCTTCCCTTCCCTTCCCTTCCCTTCCCTTCCCTTCCCTTCCCTTCCCTTCCCTTCCCTTCCCAGCAGCTTTAAGTACCTGTGATTATGTAGGTCACATCAGATCTCTCTAATCTATTAATTACTGTTGTACCTGTATATCCTGTCACCAAAGTAATCATCTTTCCAGGCCTCCTGTGACCTCACCTGTCTGTAAAGAAAACCACCATAGTTTTGGCCACTGTGATCAAAGCACATACGTGAGCAAAGGCATGTGCTTCTTCCAGCCTTGCAGTCCTGCACAGAGAGTGCTGAGGCACTTTTATGTGTTTTCCACCATTGGTGCTGTCTTAACTTCCCTCCCCCTTGATCAACATGAGGCCGGGAGGTCCCATTTGTACCTATTATTTCCACCCAGGGTCAGAAAGTTATCATAAAAAGATTATTTTTCAATCAAAAGTCGATTTCTCTCTTTGGGGACCAAGGGGGTATGAGGAGTGAAGAAAAAGAGAAGGCGCCAAAGGAGGCAGAGTGATGGGCAGCTGGCAGATAAGGGAAGCAGTGAAGTGGAAATGAAAGCTTCCGTATCATTGCAAATGGCTAAATTCATGCATTAAGCTAGGATGTCACAGGCTGTAATCATAAAAAGAATCAAAGATACATAATAGCACCATTACTGGGAAATATGAGAAAGACTTGAAAGATAAGGCATCATCAAAACTCTCTTACACTGAATATTTTGCCTCTGCTTCATGCAGAAAGAGGCAAGGAAATTGTTCTTTCTGCCCCCCATTACAGGCAAGTTATTGCCCTTTTCCACACACCTTCTGGTTTCAAGCACAAATAAAGACAGCACCTCCTAAGATAAAACTATATGACAAATGAAGTCATAAAACTCCATACAGAAAGTTAAACATTAGAAGAGCATTTAGGTTCTTCCAGCTGCAAAGCCAGCTGCAGGGAAATTGCTGTGATAAAGTTGCCCTTGGAGTTCTCACATCTGTAACGCTGTATGCTGTGCAGGACAAAGCAGACTTTCACTGCAGCCACGCATAATGGTTTATTTATGTTTTCCTCTGGAAGTAAGGGCACTGTGCAGCTGTGCAGTCACTGAGTACCTGCTCTGGTTTCTCTTTGTATCCTTATCAGAAGCGGTCTTACCTACTGTCTCATTCAGAGCCTGATGAAACTCCCATATCACCCATCAGGATTTTCTGATGCAACCTTGAACTTGCCCTAAGTTTTGTTCTCTATTCTTATCCCAGAGGTCTCCTTTCTTCTTACACGATGGGAAAAACTTTGAAGAGCTGCATATGTAGGTCTGCTGTCCCCGTGTTCCAGCCACAGAGAGATGAATCAGCTTATTCAGATCTGCCAAAATGAGCCAGAAATGTTAACAACTGAAAAAGCATTCATCAATGAATAAGATTTGACTGATTTATTTATTTAAAATGGAAATTAAGTAGTAAGCAGCACATACATGCAATGTACATGTAGGTCTGTATGTGTGTGTGTCTCTCTGCAATTATACATACCTTGCAAATTCCACCTAAAAGCTGACAAGCGGCAAGAGATGAGCTTTTGGAATAGAGGACAGCTAACCGACAATATAAACCAGCAGCAAAAGTGGGAGATTATCAGTGTCCATAATCCTCTCACATTCAGCAAAATATCTGCTTGCACCGAGTGGACTTGCTTTCCCACAACAATAAACCTATTCTGTATTGACAGATTAGTAATTTAGGTTTTTGCTGAGTTATTAAAACATATCTGACATATTTAGTAGCTCTTGGATTCTTGTGGACAGACATAAATACTGAACAGAAATCTGCAGTATGAATCTTCATGCCTTTCCAAAATCCTAATCTCTAAAATAACTTAGTTCACTGCATAGAAGTCACCCTTCCGGTGGGCTCATTTTTAACCCTCAGCAAAGACTTCTGATATTCCTGAGGTCACAAGAAGCTGAAATCACAAATACTTGGCCAGTAGTTCCTTCCTTTCCAAACCAGTGACCCAGTGTTGCTACCTGGCTTCAAAGACCGTGCTATTTACTCAATAGAGAAGCCAGCCAGCTGGATGCATGCTTCCAGCATCTTCCAGTTAAGGTAAGGACAAACCACATCCTTGAGCCTTCATTGCAGCTTGAGGTCTGCCGTTCCTCCCTGGAGGGATGGAGCCAAGAGGTGAAAGAGGCAGTAGGGCTCCCACATACCATCTGCAGTGAAGGCCTGGGGCTGTGGCTCCAGCAGAGCTACCTGCCTTTCCTCACAGGCACGTGGTGCAGACTTGGAGGCCAATAGCTTGTGCAGCAGATGGGACTGTAACCCCTAGGCAGAGGGGAGGGCAGGGCATTTCCATTCAAACTTTCACTGTTCCATGGCTCTCCACAGAGATTGGGCCAACTGACACTGCAGATGTACCCCCAAGGCTCTACTCTGGCATCTGTGAAGCTCTAGTGCAAAAGATAAGCATTTCCCCACAGCTGAAATGGATAAACAGCAGAAAAATGGTTAACAGTGGAGAAAACAAGAGCTCGTGTTTTTGAAATTGGAAGCTAAATGGCAGGTGAAGAGGACATGTAATTTCTACTTTCTAGATTACAAACAGCAGAGTAAGAGGCCCACAGCCCACACCATGAAAAATAGTGTGGGTTTGGCAGTGCATAGTTATAATTTAAGAAAGCTCAGCTCTCTACTCACCCCTTAAGATTTCCTTGAAGAGTAAGGCTTGGAACATTGCCCCTGGCTGATGTATGGCAAGTCATTTGGATGAATGTCCCTTGTGTGACATTAAAGGGAATACATTAAATATATGTGCCATGTATTGCTGTGGGTCAGGTTCATTTTCTTCCTTATGCTTTTCATGAATGTGCTTCAGATACAAGCAAATAATGGTGGGAAATGACCACAAAGAACTACAGCAGTAAGCCCAGTGGGCAGTGGGGATTTGTGCGGCTGATGTTGCTGTGGTTCACAAGATCTGCCGAGCAGTGATGTGGGAATGTTTTTTAGTGTTACCTCAACACATGCTGTAGCAGTGTAATGCTTCACCATGGAGGCCCAGTTGGGCTCTTCAAAGGTCTCACTTTAAATTCATGTGAGTTTTCTCCTATGTCCCTGCCACCCATCATGCTTTCCTATATAACCACGTATAACTATGCCCTCTTCCAATCTGTATTCTGGTTAGGAAGTGTTAAAAGGGGCAAGAGAGATCATGGAGCACAAGTATGTATCCCTGTAACTGGAACCTACCCATGATAAGATGCAAAGTGATGCTTTTGAAAACAAACTGCCTTCAATTTTTTTTTTACCACTTTTCAGGCTAAAAGACCTTGCACACTGCCAGCACTCTGGCTCTAAATGTTGCGTCAGCAGTACTGCTGTTACACAGCCTTCCATTTCCCTCAGCTGTGAAACTTCCTCCAGGCTCAAACTTGCCTTTAAAGTGCTAGCCAGGAACTGGTTTGATTTTCATCAGTTTTATCTATTTTTGCAATATAAACAGGAAGGTGTGTATATATATAAATACACTGCAAGGCAAAAAAGAAAGCCATGAGTTTTTAATTTAATCTGTTTTGGTTTTCTCACTTTCTTGCACCTTGAAAAACTCACATTTAAAATAGTATGTCAGAGCAGCCAATCACATCTAATTAGGTTTTCTGCTGCTTATACACTGGGTGAAAAAACGATAATCTGAAAGGTTAGGCCAAATTCTGATCTAACTGGTCTGACATCAGATATCAGATGTAGTGAAGGCTGTCTGGGTAGAGGAAATCAGATCCAGGCCTATTGTCTTGCGGAAAATTGTCTCTCCTTTACCCAGCATATTTAACCTGTAACCCCTAATTGGTCTAATGATTAAGTAGCAAATTATTTTTCAGACACTCAAGTTCATATAGATAAATCTTAAAGAGAAGTTATTTGATTTAAAATCAGCATTAGTGATTTGATGGCTAATGACCTGCTATTAAGTTCCACTGGCACAGAGACTGTACAACCTACCTCGATAACAAAGCATCATTTATGAGTGTTTCATAGATTTTTAATTATGATTATCAATCTCCTTTTCTGTCTCACCCTTTGTCTCTCAACGCAATGTGTTAATCTACATGTTTCTGCCTAAACTGGGCTAAGTCAGATCCTGTCCTAAGCAAGTGTAGAGTCCCTCAACAATCCTTTGGCTTATAAACACAGCACTAATGACCCTTTTGGTCCCAATTGGAAACCCTGCAAATCAAAATATCTTCTGTTGCTTCCTGATAGTTATTGACAGGTGAAGCAGGACTTTCCCTGCTTGTTTTGTGTGGCTCCTGCGTGTCTCTTTATATTTCATTCTTTTCTGCTGACTGATCACTTTTCCTCCCAGTTGCACTCCCAGGTACCTTTAGCAAAGAGAGGGGAAGAACAGATGTTTAAAGATTCATTCCTAAAACATATGTGCATTAGAATAATGTTAATTTGCAGCGAATCACTAGCTGCTGCAAATTAGGAAGTGACTAAGTGCAATATAAGAGCAAGAAGCATGAGTTATAAAATATGCTCTTTTCATTTATTTGGACAGTTGTAGCTCAGTTTTTAATTATTGATGGTAATATTCCACAATGTGCTAGTAAATGTGCTGTTTTGTGTTTAGTAAAAAATGAAGACTTAGTAAAACATGAAGTCGTTACAGCACTCAGATGTTAATTATTGCTTAGGGATAGAGGGAAGACTGCAAATTTTGTGCAGGTTAATGAAGCATGAATCAGCTGGCTTCTACTGGAAGGAACAGATGAATATCAGATATGCTGCTGCAGATAGGTAGAATCCTCAGTCTTTGTGTTTGCACTGGCTTGAACATCAGCACCTGAAAACAAGCCGTAAGAGATGTTATTTCAGAACTGTGAAGGGATGCCAACTGCAGGGAACAGTCTGATTTGTTCCAGCTCCCAGTGAATTTAATGGGACTTTGATGGAAAGACTGTGAGGTCTGTGTCAGGCTGTTAGGAGTCAGTGACATTTCATTGGTGCTGTTTGGGGAAGTAGGAACTGTGGATTATCAAGTGGACTGATGATTCTGTGTGCACTTGCCCCCACCATGCGTGTGGGTTGTGCGTGCTTAAGCATCAAGAGAGCAAGGAGGGGAAGCTTTGAGAGCTTACATCTTGCCATCTTCTGTTTAGCTGGCAAGAAAGACCTTTTGTTAATACAACAAATAAGTATTCACAATTGCCTGTGAAAATAAAAGCTGCTGTTGCTGTACCTCTAGTCCTTTCTGTTGCCTTTTACAGGCATGGATGCGTTCTGACTTGTGGAATTACTGATAGAAATCAAAACACCATAAATACCAGCAGTGTAAGAAGCTGGTCCTAGACAGTAGTGCCCTGTCTATTTTTAAATATTTCATAAAATTCATACTAGATTTTCTCTGTGATTGCAAATCTTTGACAGTAAGTAGTAAATGAGAGAAAACACCAGCCCTGTTTGTAATTCTTTGGTTGTCCCAGCCAAAGTAGAAGTTGGATGACAGCTTTGGTCACAGGTTTATAGCAAACGTCTTCTAATGCTCTGAGCTATTAGAGCTAAAACAAACCATGGAGTCATACAAACTTAAAAAAAAGAAAGAAAATGCTCGTAAAAGACTTTTCCTCTTTGTGGAGGCTTCATGAATGAAAACAAAAGTTGCATTGATTGTACAGATCAGTAGTGGTAAATAACTCAAGATCCATCCCTGAGCATTCACACTGACATGAATTTCTGACCCTGCAGGAAGCCACCAAGAGATCTTCCCCTCAGGGAGTGCTCACGCTTTCCTCCCACTGGTGTGGAAATAAAAGCATGGGTGAGTGGCATGAAAGGACCACCAGTGTGAAAGTTTTGGTGAGAACTGCTGTCTGCTTACGTTCAATAGGATTCTCTTTCAATACCTGGCACCTTGCAGCTTCTAGTTACTTTTTCAAACCAGGCTGTTCACTGAAGGTAGGAGGTTTCCTTTCATACTTACTGGAGGGCTCAGATGTTACCAGTGTTCTGCCACATGAAAGTTTGATGCATGTTATTTCATGGTCTCTAATAAAAGGAGCTGATCTCTTTACCTGAGATTTGCACAGAAAGACAAACAGCTTTCGACTGTTGGTGTTTCTAGCTCTGAAGAGAAATGAAACACAGGGTTTTTAGTAAACTTTCTGCAAATTGTTTTTCACATGGATTTTAAGCAATTTGGGAGGGGCAATATCTCAGAAATGAGTGTGTTGTGCATGAAATCAAGCAGCTAATCATGAAATCAATATGCTAACTATTCTTATCAGCCAGTGTTTTTCTAATACTTTCCTGCACTGTGGCTGTATGCTGGATGGCACCTCCTATACACAGAAGGGAATTGTGAAGATACCTGAACTGTGATGGCTGAAAGCCTGGAGGCTGATTCCAGTGCACAGCTCTCTCACATGGTCGGAGCCCGCAGAGACCTGGCAGTGACCTCACCACACCACCCAACATCCCCTGCTTGCTAGGAGAGGATCAAGTGCCCATTCAAATTGAAATGAATAGCATGAATGCATAGCCTCTGCTACAAGTTCTTGTGATTCCTACAGAGGATTTTGTCAGTATTTGTGTGCTTCAGCTCTCACCAGGATGGGAACAGCCTGGCTTCTCTCCTCTTCCTGACTTGCTTTGTTTTTCTTCACTTTGTGTGGATAGGGGACCAACTTCAATGATCCTGAGGTAATGGCTAGTAAGTGTGCACTGAGTGTGCACTGAAGGTCCAAGCCAAAACAGGACATTGCTGTGTTTAACCTGTCCTCTCCAGGGACGCTGCCTCTTGCATGCTTCATGTCTGCTTTCTCCCAAAGACAGAAATATTCTAAAATATTGCCTGTTTCTGCCCTCTCCAGAGGCACAATCTGGCAGCTACCAGTCACAGAACTGTGGCGCATGTGGGACATGCTCCTGAGTAATCATCCTGGGCCATGTTGAATGCTTTTGTTTGAGCTGGGCAAAATCCACCACCAGGTGAAATTCTGGCCTTGCTTTCTGAGTTAGAGGAAACAAAATTTGAGTAAGAGATTCAGCACTGGGCCTGTCTGTGCCTATTAAGCCAGCTTCACCTTTTTGAATTGCTTGTGCCACGGCAAAGAGATGCTTAGTGCATACAGAGCCGTGCACAGAAGCTGGCACCGCCAGTGGTGGATTTGCTGTAGGGGCCATCATGAACGCTGCATTCACAAATGAGAGGAGATAGGAAAGCATTTATCTGGGACATGCTCAGGAAGAGACACAATGACAAAACAAGGTTTCTTCCCCTGTCATTACCTCCACATCAGCTGAGTGGGCCAAACACTGCCTGTGCTGCCCACTACTGGCATGCAGAGCCCAGCTCATCAGTCTCAGTGCAGATGGTACCAGCCCCTGGGACCGTGGTGGTCATGTGATCAGTGCCAGCATCCTCACAGGGAGCAGAGAGGGCAGAGGGGCTGGGATGGAGCATGCATGCACTTCAACCCGGGATGTCACATCCTGCTGCCATCCCTCTACCTTTCCTCCATGCAGCAGACAAGGGCAAAGCTGGTACTGCGGCTCCCAAAAGCAGCTGCTCCTCTTCTAGGAGAGGCAAGTGCTTCCCCTTTAGCTTTGCTGCATATGCAGTAAAGAAGGATGTATAATCTATATGCCCTTCATTAGAAATATTAGCAATAAATACAGAAATGAATAATAAAAGCAAATATTGGAGACAGTCAGCCCCAAATTTTCTCACCTCATAAGCTCCCTCGGGGAAAAATCACTGTGAAAATAAAAAGTTTCAACTAAGTTATTACGTTTTATGAAAGGAAAATAATATCTCATGCTCATAAAGAAATATTACCTCCGCCCTTTCCTCGCCTTCAAAATGAATTAAATGTCTATTAAAAAGTACCTTCCTTTTAAAAAGGACAATGAGCACTTTGATTAAAAAGAGCTTTTAAGTATTTATATGATTATCTCTTTTGTCCCCCTGGCAGCATCTGTCTTGCTGACTGCTCAGCATCTGGCACGTGCTGCCTCATGTCAGGAAGGCTCTGATTTCTCATTCAGACAGGGGGTGGGTGAGGGAACAGACATACGGATGCACAGAGAGGCTTTTGCCAAAAGAATAAGGACATTTCCCTGGTTGTCACTGCTGCTGGCTGCTTGGCCACAGCGCTGCTGGAGAACAGCTCTCCTTTCTTCCTGCTGCAGCACGCTGTGGGTACCAGATGGCTAGCTCACTGGGTTGACATCCATCAGTGCTTCTGAGTGCAACATGGCCAGCCAGAGCATCACGGCCCAACATTTCCTCTGACTGTGGGCAAGATTCCTTTTTCTTTTCTCTTTCAGGCCCTTCTGCTTTTTCATACATAATAAGAAGACACAGCAAGACATCCAAAGCCCTCAACCATGGCCTGGCATGGGCATTTTGCATCACTTTGAAGCAGGCTGGAGCAGGCAGTGGTGGGGTGCTTGGGAAAATCCCAGTGCACCATTCGGTGTGCTCATATGCAGGGCATACACAGTGGAAGATCTGTGGGTTTTGCAGGATCAGCCTTATTTTCTGCATATTCATTTTACAAAAACTATCTTTGGTAACACAGTCAATGACTCAGAATAATATTAGTCATCGTTTGTAGCCATGTATAATTCCTCGCTTTGCAGAATTTCAGAATGTTTCTAAGACGATTTAAGCTCTCTGTCATCCACAATAGGTGAAGCAGAATGAGTCCATTTCAAATACCACTGCTTAACTAAGTCTAGAATTGCAGTGGCTTGCTCAAATACGACAGAAATCAACTGTCAAGACATGAGTCCTGCTCACTCTCCAACTAGTAGGAGAGGAGAGATTTAGGCTGCAGGAAGTTTTTTACAATAAGGGTGGTAAGGCACTGGGACAAGTTGCTCAGAGAGGTGGTGGATGTCACATCCATGGATCCTTCAAGGTCAGGCTGAACAATGCTCTGAGCAACCTGATCTAGCTGTAGGTGCACCTGTTCATTGCAGGGGACTTGGACTAGCTGGCCTCTAAGGGTCTCTTCCAAATCAAAAGATTTTATGATTCTATGGTGTGCACCAAGTAGTTCTCCAGTTTCGTTTTAAGATAATGATAAGTACCTGCACCTCTATTTAGAAGTCAGTAAAATGTAAGGAAAACCTTTTGAATTCCCACTCCACTGTCTTCATTCTTATGGCACTTTGCTTCTGAGAACTGCACTGCTATGTGTTACTTGCTTCAAGGGTGGTTGTGGCATCTTAATTCATCCTTTAAAATAAAAGATGCACTGTTAGATTAATCCTCCTTATTATTCAAGTCTTAACTTTTACTGGCTTCCTCAAGAGTTGGACTGAACAGTAAGTCACGTGCATGAAATTAAGTAGATTATCTTTTGGGGGGATTTTTTGTGGTGGAAGAGGTGAAGGCTTTCACCTGCAGCTAATAGAGCCTTGAGGCCTGAAGGAATTGGTAACTACAGGGGCAACAAGTCAAAGCAGGGTTATTTTGTCTTGCCCAGTACTGCATGACTCTTCTGTGTGTCCTAGGACCCCACTGGCTGCACTGCAGGGAAGCACAGAAGGCCAGAGGACCTTTTTGAACTCTCTCCTGCTTTTACACAACAGCCCAATTACAAAGCAGCAGTCAGAGATGGACTCTCAGTTTTGCCTATGGGCCTTGTGTGTGGAAAAAATAGAATGGAAATCCTAGAGTGTCTGGCTCATAAAGGAGCAGGTGCAAAGCTAATGTTTGTGGTGCCATTCATTGACTGTGCCATAATGGATACTACAGCTCAAGACCTTTTTTTTTTTAAACTGTTTGTGTTTACAGTAATCTCAGGGACTGTTCTGCTTTTTTTGTAGACATATATGTCATGAGCATAACTCATGACATACATGTCATGAAGGACATGAAGGACAGTTGTTCTTATTCAGTATTTGCAGGGTAGTCTTTATAGTCTTTACTTGCCTTTGTTGTGGGTTTTTGCTGTTTTTTATTTGGCTTGCATAGAACTCTCAAATCTTGCTTTTTTCACACTTGTTTTCCAGATGAATAGAAGTATAAACTTCTGGTTTATAAAAAAAAAGAAAGGTGATATTCTCATTTGTTTTCAATGCCTAAGGCTTCAAGAAATAGCACATACTGTTAGAAGCCAGAAATAAGATACAAACAATTGGCAATATTGCATCAGTGATTTAGGTGTCTCCTCTCATTTTACCTGCAGTATTAGAAAACAGCAATCCACACGTACGAACAAATAGCACAGCTGGAAAACAAATGACAAAGTGATTTTATTTTACTGAGATGAGTAAAAGTATCTCTCTACAAATAATGTGCCATCTTTAGCCTTCCTCATCACACTGCAAAACAAGGTGGGATTAATTGAACCTAATTTTAGTTCTCTTAGGGATGAAACATCTCACCTAAGTTCATTGCCTAATTCATTCTGCAGTCAATGGAGGCAGTGCCAGACGGTGATTCATCCCACTAACCACTATTCCTGGATTAAATGGGATGAATCAGACAGTGTTGCCTGCCCTGTTACCACCAGCCACAGAGGCCATGCAGACAGCAGCTGGGAGGAGATGTCCAGCTTCTGGCCAGGCCCATGTGGGTGAGGTGAGGGCTTTGTGCTGGCCTCCCCAGAGCTTGGGCACAGCCCATGGGATGCTCCAGCCTGGGAGGCTGTGAGAGAGGCAGAGGAGCTGAGTCAGCCAGCCGAGCTACCAGACGTGTAGCCTGACTTATCACCTTGTGATGCGTCAAGCCATCTCCATGCTTATCTGAGGACCAGAGCTGAATCCTGACTGAAAAGCAAAATAGGCTTAAGAGCAGTTCCTAGAGGAAGCACAAGTTACAATGGAGGAGAAGACACATCAGGCTGCAGACAGAAGTACAGTATCACAGGTTAATGAAGGCAAGCAGTCCCCACCCTGTCAGAACCTGAAGGTCCTCGGTGATGAAGGGTGCCATCACACTTACCTTCTTGGTTTCAAGCACAAGGTCAGTACCTGTGCTCTGTGACAGAACTGAAACTATTCTGAAATTTCTTCCTATATTTGCTCATGTTTACCTTGCCCAGAGAAGCTGTGTATCCCTGCTTAAAGCAAAACAAAACAAAAATGTATCTAATGTAACTGCTAGTGATTAGCGGTTATCCACATACATGTCTAACCCTGTTCTAAAAATCAAGGCTTCAGTGGTATGGCATGACTAGATCTCTATCAGCAGACTATGAATGCTGCAAAACTAGTGCTTTGTTAAGCAGCTTCAGATATCCTACTCATCCTGGATAGCTAAACAGAAACACATAATTTGTCATCTGATTATCTTTAATTATTACCTTTCTGCCAAATCTATACCTTGAGGATAAGATTTACCACAACTTATCCATATTTTACTACCCTGTGAGAAACTGCAAGGATAATGTTGTGGTTTAACTCCCCAAAGCTTTATGGTCTTCTCCTGGCCTAATTCAGGCTGCCTGCCCTGGTTCTACCCTGTTCCCTGTGCCTTCTTGGTGATAGCTCTTCCTTGCTAAGGCTTGACCCAGCCCTGGGTGCATACCCATCAATAACCAAAACACCAGTATACAGTTAGCGCTGCCTCAGCTGAAAACAGGACGGATCATTGTGAAAATAGATACACTTTTGGAGCAAAAACACATAACAGAATTGTTACCACATTTTGTTTTTTTTCTGGAATGTGTGCCTCAATTGTACTTCATGGCTGTCTCTGAGCCTCACTGACCTCTTAATTCCCATTAAAGTGGGGTAGCATGGGACTGCAGAGTGGCTCAAGGTAGCAGTAGCTTGCTCAGTTTTACTAAGGTAGCTGCTCATTGCACCTTTGGACACTTCTTAGGAAAATACAAGGTACATTTTAATTTCCATTCTTATTGCTCTTTAGAAACAAGTTACTGAGTGAAAAGAATAGCAGCAGGTAGGAAACAAAATAAAATAGATCTTCATAAGTTATAGTGGAAATAATGGAGAAGAAAAATGAAGTGACTGCAAAGGCCAGGAGATGTGAATCCAAGGAAGAGGAAGGAAGATGCTGAAGAAGACACTCAGGTGAGTGGATACGTGAAAAATCTGCAAACTAAGGAATGTCTGGGAAAAAGCTGAGTTGACCTATGGACTTCGTACGCTGGTGTCGGTTTATGAAGAAAAAAGTTCTTCATTGTAATGAGAGATAATAACATCGTACTTCCTGATCTGTGGAAGTGCTCTAGAGTGAAGACAACAAGGACAAAATTCCTCTGTTAGTACCAGAACACACTCCAGGCAAGGCTATTTGTGATAGAAGTCTGGGAAGGAAATCTTTTACTCTCAGCAATCAATAGGGAGCCATAAAGACACTCAGAACAGGGCAAATCAAAGTCTATTTTGAAAGGGGTGATTAATTTAGAAGGAAACAGAATGCCTGGCCAGTCTGACCCTTGCCAAATGGAGCACAAATAAGTAACTGTCTTGCTTTGGGGACAGCAGCTTCTCCAGAAAGGCATTAGCAAACTGACTGGATCCTCTGGAGCATAGAATCAGATTTACAATCGTGATCATTGCCCTGTTGCTGACATTCAGCTGATGAAGAAGAGCTTTTTAGAGTGTTTTCACAGAATATTTTAATTCACATTCATCATAATTTCCAGTGTGATTCACTGACTAGCACAGGAAGCTGGAGTCCCAGAGCAAGACTTGCCTGGTTCAAGTTGGATCCACTCTGGGGAACAGGCGGCCTTTCATTTGAATAATGCCTGTGTGGGGATGAACAGAGGCACG